ATATGAGTTCCCACAGCCTTTATGGGGGGATAAGATGAAATTGTTCTTATCTAGGCAATATATTACAGGTGTGAATAGCAAACCTGTGAATTGCACCACATGTTCAAAACCAGGGAGATTGCCAGAGTGGGGTGACACACCAATAATCAAACAGGCTCACTACAAGAAAGCAAGGGAAAATAGTAGGCAAGTTAAAACCAAATATTACATATATTTTGTTAATAAGGCATGGCAGTGTCTTTGTATCCTGATATAATGTTTGCTTGACAATAACTTTGTCACTTGTCATGATGGTGAAATGTATAAAGTACATACATGCAGAGTATTGTAAATCTTTCTCAAATTCAAAATTGTTCTTTTGGGGTTTTGTCTTCTAAAATGAACTGAGAACAAATTGTCTACACTTCAGGGCTATAGTCTTCAGGTGATCTAAAAACCTTATTTCAGAGGAATAAAACACCCTTCTTTCTAGATTCTTACTATTTTAATGTTTGCTTTGAGACAGAATTAGCTGAATTGTAAAATAGTTTTGAATTGGATCTCTGGCTTACATGTTTTCTCCAAACATTTTCAGATAATTGTTAACTTTTAATCTATGGGGGCTGTACAGTTAGAGATGCTGCATTTTCTGCCTGTGGCTCTTGGGAAGGGCAGCCCTGGATGTCAATGAACAGCCATAAAACCCTAAAAAACCACCAACCAAACCAAGGGGGAGGGTAGTTTTGACTTAAATATGCCTGAGAAGCTCATTTATCACAGAACAACTCCAAAGCAAAAACCTATTTTGAGGTGCTGGTACTAGGAAGGCTAGAAAGTCAATCCCTTGGGCAGTGTGAGCTGGGTGCTGTGACTAATGTGATTTCCAGGTGAATTCCAGCTGATTTGCTTTGTGAATTCTGAAGTTACCCATATCCCTCCTACCCCAGGGGAATTACCAAGGGTATTCTCTCAGCTTTGTTGGCAGGAATACAGTGCCTTAATTTGTGTATTTTGGTGTGGTATGCTTTTCCTGCTTGATTTTTTTTGTTTGCTATTGAATCAGACATAAAATCTTTGCCTGCTGTCTCTCATCAGAGGTTCTTCCATGCACTCCTGAGCACAGGAGCCCTCAGCAGCTCACAGGGAGGATGAGGCCAGGTAGAAGGGTGTGCATGTGACTGCACACTGAAATAGGTCAATCCAGGCTAAATATAAACCAGGATCATTCTCCTGGAAACAGTTTCTTCTGTTGTTACTTCTGTTTGAAATAAGAAACAAAATGAATTAGTCATTTAGCACCAAACCAAATTACTGAAAGATTAGCAGAAACTTCTAGAGGATACTTCAAAGGAAGAATATTTTAAACATTTTTTAAACTCAAAAAAGAAATTTGTTTTATCTGTGATGGAGAAATGCCATTTTTATCTTGAAGATAAAATGAAAATCAGAACACTTACCTATACAACTCCATAAATTAACATGTACACTGATAGGACATGGAGCAGTAGGATAGGAGAGTTCCAGTCTGTGAATATGTTTGATATCACTCTCAAAACACAGCAAGCACAGAAGAGTATTGTTCCATTTTCTTTAAAGTATATAATTCTACAAATGGAACAGTATCCAGATTATTGAACCATATTTTTTGTATGGTCAGCTAGACTGCTCTTAGAGTCAGATGAATTCTGGCATAAGTTATGTATTATACTAGTTGATAATGTCATATATGTATTAAAAACAGATCATGTAGTTTTGCATTCAGAGCCTTACTATGACTTTATTCCTGGATATTAACATAACTTCACTTTGCTCATACATGTTCGTTCGTTATGGTTCTGGATATATAATTTTCAATGGAGTAAAAATAAAGGTAAAATGGTGTGAAGACCTAAACCTGAAGAGTTATACTTCAAGTGCAGAGATAAAATCACACATGTCTGTGCAATGCTGGCTGCTGTGGCACATGGTGCTCTCAGTGGGTGGTTACCTCCACAAGGATCTACTGCTTTCACACTGGCACTCCATGGGAAAGATAATTACTGCTAGAAAGCTTGAAAAACTCCTAGAAAAATCACATTTCTTCTGCTGATGAATTAGAAGGAAGGCATATTATAAAACAGGTTTATGCTGGTAACAGGATATCCTTGTTGTCAGTCGTTCCTACATGTGATTACAGGCAGATACTTAGCTGAGCACTTTGTAAGGTCTGTGTAGGTGCAATGAGTTGTTCCAGGGTTTGTGTTCAGACTGTGGCTAACAGGAATTACCATGACAGGCATGGTAACAATTGCTCCTCAACACCATGTCTCCAGCAAAGATCAAAGCTTTTTGCCCTGGAATATGGAATATTAGATACTTTGTTCATGATAAATTACATTTGGCCAAGTATTCTTTTTTTTTTTCAATAAGTTTATTTTAGGATGTCCAGCAAAGCTGCCTGAAAGTTCCTTTAGTCAGTGACTATTTTAATCAAGCTCACCTTGCTTTTCTATGCATGTTTTGTTGATAAATGCCAAAACAGTAATTATTAGTGAGGAAGAAGCCAGTGCATTTTAAAAATAACAAAAGGTCAGGTACTCTGCTATGTTTGGGTTATTGCAGCAGCTGAGCAATATTTACTATGGGGTTTATAAATTTATTTTTTAAATTATTTTTTTAAAAAAAAGTGGGGGGAAGCTGCTTCCATTCAGGAACATTTTTATTTTGCTCTTGAGACCTTAACCAAACACATCAGTGATAATAAACTTAATCTTTCATGGTAGCCTCTTTAACTGTACCTGTAAAATCTTGGGTTTGTATACTTAAGTGGAATGGATCCTTGGGGAAAAACAAAAAGGGAAATTAATAACTGAAACTTCTGTGAGCTACCTACTGCTCTGAGAATCACAGTGCTCTGAGCTGACGGGTTATTTGAGCAGCCATCAGGATTCCAAGTGATTTTAAATGCTTCTCTCCTCAATCTGGCATGGATTTCCTTGTTTTCTCCTAAGCCTAATTGAAATTGTTTAATTTGCCAGATGTTCCCCAAGATATTTCCATTCCATCCTCCTGAATGTCTTTCTGCTTGTATCACTTAGCAAATTACTTTCCAGTCAGTTTCTCTGCTATGCTCATTATCCAGATAACAAATATTAAAAATCTATTATTTGATCTCTTCATATTCTTCTAATTTATTTTTAATTCATTCCTTTTCCCAGCATGCAGGAAACCATTCACCCAGGCTCAGACACAAGTTTATGAGAATAAGAGTGTTTTCATCATAAATCCTTCAACAGTCTATTTTTGTCTTTCTTTAAGGGCACAGGATGACATAGTAAGGGCTGATAAGATGATTACTTTAAGAGTCTTAGGTTAGGCACTTACATGTGAGCTCCTTAGGGAAAACACTGCTCCATAAGTTATTTTGCTGGCAGTGTTGGGAGAATTATCTTCATTTTCAGCCTGCCTATGGCTTTTAGGGCACTGTAGATTGCTTCTGAATGGTCTGAAAATTAACCTTCCTTATGAAGCATGTTATTTATTATATCCATACTCCCTCTTTACAGTCTGAGGTCTATTAATCACAGTGAGCTAGACAGAAATTCTGGCACGGTCATGGTTTTCCTAAGGCTAGGGGTTTGCTGTCCAGCTGGAGGATGTTCTGGTAGTGAAATGGAGCTGGTTATAGCTGCCTGATCCACTGCTGGGAATGAAGATGAGATGCTTCTGATGCCTCGGCATCCTCAGGTACTCCTGGGCAGGCGGATGCTGCTGTGCAGTCTGGTGAAGGGCACCAGTGCAGCTTTGAGCTCTTTGGTTATTTCCTAAAGGACAGAGCAGAAGAGTTTGCTCATGTGAAGGGTGAGTGCTGTTTCCCTCAGTCCCCACTCTCCTGCTTCGTGCCTTGTAAGACATTGAGTTCATGACCACAGAATCAATTATTTTGGAAAAGACCTCGCAGGTCATCGAGTCCAACCTTTGAGCGAACACCACCACGTCAACCAGACCATAGCACCGAGTGCCACCTCCAGCCTTTCCTTCCACACCTCCAGGGATGGTGACCCCACCACTTCCCCGGGCAGCCCATTCCAATGTCCATTCACCCTTTCAGTGAAGAAATTCTTCGTGATATTCAACCTAAGCCTCCCCTGGCCCATCTTAATACCGTGTCCTCTCGTCGGAAGAGGCCGACCCCCACCTGCCTACACCCTCCTGTTAGGGACTTGCAGAGCCTTGGTCTGTCACAGCTATTTGCCCTCTGTTCATACACACCACCTTCAGCATCCCGCTGCTTTCTCTCTCTAAAAGCAGCTAATTACTAAGCGAGCTTAAACACACCTCTGAGGGCTGTTTTGCTGGGAGAGCACTCAATCTCCCCGCTCCCGCTGTTTCCCCTCAGTGCCCCCACAGCGGCAGCCGAGCTCTTTTATCCTCAGCAGCGCCCAGAGTCGAACCGGCCCCCCGCCCTTCAGAGAGGGGAGAAGCAGCCGTGCCTTAGCCGGGCAGAGCCCTCAGCGGGGCAGAGCCCTCAACCCTCACTCGGGCAGAGCCGTTCCCGTCCCTCACTCGGGCAGAGCCCTCACCTGGGCAGAGCCCGCAGCCGGGGCGGAGCTGTTCTCGCCCCTCACCCGGGCAGAGCCCTCACCGGGGCAGAGCCCTCACCCGGGCAGAGCCCTTACCGGGACAGAGCCCTCAGGCCCTCACCTGGGCAGAGCCCGCAGCCGGGGCGGAGCTGTTCTCGCCCCTCACCGGGGCAGAGCCCTCAGCCGGGCAGAGCCGTTCGCGTCCCTCACCCGGGGCAGAGCCCTCACCTGGGCAGAGCCCTCAGCCCTCACCCGTGGCAGAGCCGTCACCGGGGCAGAGCCCTCAGCCCTCACCGGGGCAGAGCCCTCACCCGGGCAGAGCCCTTACCGGGACAGAGCCCTCAGCCCTCACCCGGGCAGAGCCCTCACCGGGGCAGAGCCCTCAGCCCCCACTCGGGCAGAGCCGTTCCCGTTCCCGCCCCCGGCCGGAGAGCCGCCCGCCCTCCCGTGAGGCGGGGCCGCCCTTTCCGCCGTGGCTTTCCGGTGATGGCGGCGGGCGGTAGCGACCCGCGGACGGCAGACGTGGAGGAGGACGCCTCGCAGCTCGTCTTCCCCAAAGGTGCGAGCGGGGCGGCGAGGAGCCCGGGCTCGGGGGGTGGTTGGAGGCCGGCAGCGGCCGCCTGTAGGGTACGAGCCTCGCCGAGCGGCTCCTTGGAGCGGAGCGCTGCTCAACGCCCCGCCAGCAGCTACTCAGCCCCGAGTATTAAAAATCAGGATAATAAGTGATTTGTATATATTTAAGGATCTCATGATTTTTAGGATTTGGCGGTTCTTTAGGTGGGCCGCCACGTGTGTGTTGGGCATTAAAAAAAAAGTCCTGTCAGGTTATAGTGAAAAGGTTATTGGTTTTTGATGTAAGCTTTTCCAGTGATGTTTGTTGACACAGGAGTTCTTGTCTGTGAGGGTGCTGAGACCCTGGCACCGGGTGCCCAGAGCAGCTGTGGCTGCCCCTGGATCCCTGGAACTGTCCAAGGCCAGGCTGGACGGGGCTTGGAACAACCTGGGATAATGGAAGGTGTCCTCACGGCAGGGCTGGAACTGGATGGGCTGTAAGGTCCCTTCCAGCCTAAGCTGTTCTGGAAATCTGTGAGTACTGCTGCAGTTAGGAAACCAGCTGTACAGATACAGAGTTGGTAACTATAGACATTTATTGTCTGTGTATTTTTTTTTTTCAGAAAATTAATTTGGTATAAATTCTAGAAATGTTTTTATGGTACTGCTGCAGTTAGGAAACCAGCTGTACAGATACAGAGTTGGTAACTATAGACATTTATTGTCTGTGTATTTTTTTTCAGAAAATTAATTCGGTATAAATTCTAGAAATGTTTTTACACCTCAGAGCCACCCTGAAAATAAAGGAGGTGGGGGGAAATGGACACCTTGCTGCATTGTTGAGTTATGAACAACAGGAAAGTTCTGAAAGACTATTTTTTCAGGTTTTTTTTAATGCTAAAATCTCAGTTTAGCCCAAGCTGATTTACTTCTCAATGCAAAATAAGAGTTGCCAGGCCCTTTCTAGCAGTCGCTGTATCTGCTTGTATAAAAGAGTGCTGTCAGGCACTCTGGGATGCAGCCTCTGACCCTGTTGCTTTGAACAGCTCATACTGTGATGTTGAAAGATGCTCTTGTTATTGGAATACTTATAGTGGTTATGGTGATGATGAATTAATTCAAAGTTGGCTAAAGGGCAAGGGAGAATTTTTAAAATAGGTTAATTTTTTTTTTCTGATAATAAAATTTCAGCCAGGTCAATTAACTTTTCAAGTAAATGAAGCCTTTTTAAAAACATTCAACAGCGTTCATATTTACTTCAAGAGCTCAGAAACTTCTGAAGACTGTGGCATCACTTCTGAATTGTGTGGAATTTTAGAGTTCTAGATATTTTTTTCTGTATCAAGTCATGCATTACTTCTGCCAAAACTGGGTGAAGAAAACATACTGCACAAATATGAAAAAATCTGAATGTCAGGGCTGCAAGTGTAAAATATACGGTCAAAAAGACAAACACCTTGGACTGTCATTCAAAGTGTAATTTTTGTCAGCATTTTCAGTACGAAATGCTGCCCAGTCACTGGTGAAAGAGCTCACACAACTGCCATGAAAGACATTTTCACTTCTTTATTACCCAGATCTAAATTACACCCAAAACTTGTGCAATTCCCCTTTTCAAACACCTCTTTCCATGCTGGCATTCCCTCGTTCATCCCGCAGAATTTGAAACTGCAGAAACTCTGCTGAACTCCGAGGTGCACATGCTGCTGGAGCACCGCAAGCAGCAGAACGAGAGCGCGGAGGATGAGCAGGAGCTGTCAGAAGTCTTCATGAAAACCTTGAACTACACCGCGCGCTTCAGCCGCTTCAAAAACCGCGAAACCATCGCCAGCGTGCGCAGGTCAGCGGCGGAGTCGGGCTGTGACAAACACTGCCCTGCAGAATGGGATCCCTCACGCTGCTCCTGCTTTACAAAAGTGTAGTGTCCCATGAACTCTCTCCCCTTGGTCAATCCCCAAGTCCCCAGCCCTGGAAACATCAGTAACTACTTACCAGAGTTAGCCCTGCTGGGGGAAAAAGCACTCCCAAATGGACCTTTGTGTCACAGCTTCCTCTGGTTTCTCCTTCTCCTGTCTCCTCAGTGGCCACCCCCCTTTCCCTGGAGCCCAGCCCTGAGCTCTGCCTCCCACCCCTTCCCTTTCTTAAGCTGCCTGCTCCACCTGGTTCCCTCTCTCTGTAGCAGGGTTTCCCTTCAGCTACTGTGTTACTGCGCTGTAATAAAACCTTGCAAAAGAGCCTTTCTTGCCTCTGTCGCTGAGCCAGTTGCAGTGAGTGTTGAGTGGAGGTTTGAGTGTGTTGCCTGAATGTTAACTCAATCTGCTTTTCAACAGGAGAGGTTTGTTGGGGACAAGAAATAAGCAGCAGCACCTATCATTCTAAGACCTGCTTTTTTAAACAAAATTACATCTTTATGGTGTTGAGTGATTTGTTCTTTAATTGAGTCTTTAGGGTCCCTAACGAGGCAAGAAGTTCTTTATGGAGGGTTATACTTTGTCCAGGTCAAGCCTTCTGAAGTGCTTTGTTTTCAGTATTTCACTGACAGCTGATTGCATTAAATGGGAGGATTTTCTAGACTTTGCAGAATAATTCAGGGGAGGTGGAGTTAGCAGATAGGATTTTATTTTTTCCTCTGTGCATTTATATAATGAGGCTTTTCTCCTGAAAAAAAATTACTTCAGTGCCAGAAGCAGTGTATAAAAAGAGAAGTATTTCTTTCAGTTTAAGCTTCTTTATATTTCTGTCTTGTAATTCCATCAAATTGTTGTCTTCCCTTACAGCTTACTGCTGCAGAAGAAGCTCCATAAGTTTGAACTGGCATGTTTGGCTAACTTGTGTCCTGAGACAGCCGAGGAAGCAAAAGCTCTGATTCCTAGGTAAGCACTTACATGTTCTACAAAGGTTGCTGTCATTTCCCTGTGACCCAAAGCCAGCCATGCCCTGGTACTCTGTCTTCAATCCAGCTCCCTTGCTGGAAAAATATTTGGTCTTAGTCTTTCTTCCCTGCCTGTTGATCTGACAGCAACACACTTTGTACATGTCCCTTGTGTACTTCTGAGAGCTTTTACTGGTTCAAGTGTAAAGCTCTTAAATTTGGGTTCTTAGCTGGCTGTGTTTGTGCTCCTTGGAGTTTTTTCTGTTGGAGCAAATGAACTGTTTTGTGGATAATGTACGGAAGAGCAGTTGCTTCTTTGTGTCTTGATTGGTTACCTCATGGCCTGAGACAGAGGAGGGAATGAAACATTCATCTGAATTACAGTTTCTTCCTTATTTGTCATTATATAAAAGGGAAGGCTTTGGGATGACCTAATAGTGGTCTCCCAGTACCTGGAAAGAGCCTACAAGAAAGATGGAAAGAGACTTTTTTACAAGAGTAGTGACAGGATGAGGGAATGACTTCAACTGAAGTAGATTTAAATTAGATACCAGGGAGAAATTCATCCCTGTGAGGGAAGTGAGCCACTGGCAGAGGGTGCCCAGAGAAGCTGTGGCTGCCCCTGGATCCCTGGAGGTGTCCAGGGCCAGGCTGGATGGGGCTCTGGACAACCTGGTCTAGTGCAATGTGTCCCTGTCCATGGCAGGGGGTTGGAATGAGATGATCTTCAAGGTCCCTTCCAACCCAAACCATTCCATGATTTTATGGTAAATTTCATAGCAAGAATGGACTGGTTTATGAGCATGCAGCTACATGGACTTCATATAGAGGTCTGCTTACACCTGCCTTGCCTTTTTTGAAAACACCTTTTGAAATTACTCACCAGAAGGTTCTGGGATGAATGGAGTTTTGTCATGTAAAGAAGTAGTGCATAGGGATTAGAGCATCTTCATACAGTGATGTTACAGGTGGTTCCTGTGGTCACACAGGTGTGTTGAGACTGACAGGAGAGAGTTCTGACTGAAATGAATCACGGGGAGAGGTCATTTCTGAAACCTTTAATGTCTCCTTATTGCTCGTGCCTCGCAGCCTGGAGGGCCGGTTTGAGGATGAAGAATTGCAGCAGATTCTGGACGACATTCAGACTAAACGCAGCTTCCAGTACTAAGGTTACCCCTCAGCCCCTTTACCTGAGCAGGAAATCCTGAGGACCTGGGCTGTTTCTGAGCCCTCTGCATCAGTCCAGCTCCCAGCTGAGCGAGGGGAGTTGTGGGTGCAGGGTGCTCCAGTGCTGTGTTGCCACAGGTGCATTCAGACTGGAGATGAGCATTGTCCTTTTGGTTTGTTCCACGTGTATGTTGGCAAGGATCCCCTGAGCTGTGAGAGCAAAGAATCTGAAAGGCCTTTTCCCAGTGGCTCAAGTATTTGTTTCTTCCCTAATCCCTCTCCCCAGGTTGTAAATTTTCAATGTTTTTGGTTTTTAGCAGAAATGTAGATGTGATTTTGTGTTTTTTAGGAACTTCTAAAGGATGTGGAAACTTGTTCATGGTTCTCAGAAAGCTCAGTGATGAGCAGCATCAATATCTGTGCTGGTTTTTGTTTGTTTGTTTTATTGTTTGATCGGGACAGTGAATTTTTACAGCTTCAATATTTTTCTATTATTGTTTAGTGTAAATTAAAAGATATTTTAAATTAAAGTTGTGTGTTTTATAAATATTAGGTACATATTATGATTTTGTTAATGAGGAGCTTTTTAACGAATAGATCCTGGAGATCTGGGAACTCCAAGAGTGTAATGACCCCAGTGCAGTTTAGGGCAGATCAGAGGTGTTACTACAATCACAGTGAGAAAGCATTGGGGCAGCATCTCCCTCTCTGCTCCCCTGCTCTGTGCCAAGGGATTGCAGACACCCAACATGTATCCTGCTACAGAAAAAAAAAGAAAGTGAAGAAACCAAATAATTTTGACGTTATGGACTCCTTAATTATGCTCCTGACTGCCCTAAGACTGAGATGGAGCCAAACCATAAATAAGGGGGCACAGTGGAGGGCTGGCCCCTGGTGCAGCCTGTGGGGATCACACACCCAGTGCTGCCAGAGCTCAGCTGCTGGGACATTCACAGATTGTTAGCTTTTGTTATTCCTTTGGAAAGGAATCGTCCTTTGTGTAGGATAAACTTCTTAAACAAGCCCTTTCAAGTCCTGTAATTTCACCACCCCACCTGAAAGAAGGGAAATTTTGCAGGAGAGAACATTGAGAGAAGAGGCAGAGAGATGTGGTAAGACACTATTTGTTTAGGATAAACTTCTTAAACAAGCCCTTTCAAGTCCTGTAATTTCACCACCCCACCTGAAAGAAGGGAAATTTTTGCAGGAAAGAACATCGGGAGAAGAGGCAGAGAGATGTGTTAAGACACTATTTGTGATGATAAGCAATAGTCTCGCTGATCTTGCAAAAGGGAGAGAAATAAAATATTATTTTGGGTTGTACTAGAAATGTAATGTTGCTGCTGTGCTGAGGCTGTACTGGTATGTGACAATTGTTTGGGCTCACCTCATCTGGAGCACAGTACTTCAAACAGATTTGTGTCTGAGCTGGGGTGGCAGTGGCTCCTTCTAGCCTATAAACCACACATGCAGCTTTACCAGGGTCAGGATAATTCTAACAGAAGAAGGAAAATCAAGGTAACAATGCTTTATTTTATAAAGCTTAGTGTCCTCTTTGAATACAGCATATGCTTCCCAGCAGCTGCCCCTGCTGAACCAGGTTTGCTCTGTAAAATGTTTCTGTTCAAGCAGCTTTAAGACATTTTCATCTAAACGCACAGATTCTTAGGTCTTAATCACAAATAATTCAGGGAAAAAAAAGCCATTCTGCACCTCTCTACACTCACGTTACTACTTGATGAGGCCTTTGTAAGCACCCTTAGGAATACCAAGGAGTGTAACAGACCTAGTGATCTGTAAACGATCTCAGGAGTTCCCACCATTCTACACAAACAGATTATTAGCCTTAAGATTAGTAGGTTTTGCTTGTGTTCTGAGGCCCGGTAGCGGTGACAGAGAATGGAGTCACGGAATCGATTAGGTTGGAACGACCTGTGAGACCGAGTCCAACCTCTGAGCAAACACCATCCTGCCAGGCAGACCATGGCACTGAGTGCCACCTCCAGCCTGTCCTTAAACACCTCCAGACACCGCCTCCCCGGGCACCCATTCCAAAGGGATTTCTGGGATCCACCCGGGCGGAGTGTCTTGTGGCGCCTGGGCGTTTGGCGAGCGTGAGGGAACCATCACGGAGCAGGCACAACACGGCTGTGCCGGGAGGCAATTACCGCCCTGGCCACGGGCAGTGCCTCTTTTGGCAAGCTGCCCCGGGGGTGCCGGGAGTGCCCGGGGCAGATCCCGGCCCGGCGGCTCTGAGGGACGCTCGGGGCTCCCTCACGCCCGCACTACACGCGGAGCGGCCCCGCCAGACACTCCGCGCATGCGCGCAGCCCTACGCACTCTCGCCCTGTGATTGGTGCGCCGGCCGGGTCGGCTCGCGGAAGCGGCGCGCGCCCCACCCCAAGCGCGCACGCGCGTTACCGCCCGGGGCCCTTCAGGCGCAGCGCCCCCGCCCGCGCGCCCCGAGGTAGTGCGCGTGCGCGCTGGCGTGGAGCGCGTGCGCTGCTGGCGGGGGAGGCGGAGGGAAGATGGCGGGCGGCCGCGGGTCGTGAGGCGGCGGCGGCGGAGTTTGCCGGAGCCAGCAGGACGAGGCGGGCAGCGAGGTGTCGGTGGGCCTCGGAGTCCCGGTACGAGAGGCTGGCTGGGCGGTGAGTGCGGCTCGGTGTTGGGCGGCGCGGGGGAGCAGCCCGGGGAGCGCGGCCCCTCCGCCATCTTTAGGCCGCGGCCCGGGAGCGGCGCGGCCGGGGCAGGGCGGGGGCCGCCGGCGGGAACGGCGGGAACGGGGGGTGCCCGGGCCGGGGGGCCCCGAGCAGCGGCGAGAGCCGAGCCAGGGCCCAGCGGCACGGCCGGGCCCGTGGCGGGGTGTGCTCGAGGGCCGGGCCTGGCAGCGGACAGCGGGGCCCCGGTCCCCTCCGCCGCACAGGTGTCTGGCCGAGGCTTCGGCCGGGTCTCTCACGCCTGGCTTTTCCTACTTCTTTCAATGTTATTTTTTTCTTAATATTATTCTTCCCTCCGCCTTGGGTCTGAGTGGAGGTCGGGTTGTGGCTGCTTTGAGCATAGGGCTGGGAAGCTCTGGCCATTACGAGCCGTGTTAGATACCTCGAATTTTTTACTTAAGTGGCTATTTACATGGGTAATCCTCTGTGTTTTAAGGAGAGAAGAAAACGCCACGGACGTATAGTACAGAATACTGCGTTCGGTTAGTATTTAAGTTTCTCAGATGCCAGTGAAGAACGGTCTTAGTTCTGTAGCACTAATAAACATGGTAAAAGAATGGACACCTATTATTTTCGGTTTTCTTACGGATCCCGAGAGGGCTGTTGCTCACGTTTAGTGCTGTGGAAGCCCGCTGTTGCTAGAGCGTGTTCCTGCAGTGCAGTAACACAGAGCCGTGCAGCAGCCCCTGTGCTGGCTGCTGGAGGGGCTGGGGATCGTGTGGTGTCACATTCCACCGGCCGGACTCATCAGCCCGTGCATGGCCAGCACACCTAGGGGACGAGCTCAGCCTGAATAAAATAGCTCAGCGTTTTTCCCTTGGAGAGAGCTCGTTAAATTTCCTGCCTCCTTAGAGGTGCGTGTTATTTCTCTCGTGCTGATTGTTATCTTCTTTGTTATGAGTAAATAAATTTTTAGTCTCAAATACAGTATTTTTCAATATTAGCAGTTGCTTGAGCACATCTGTGTGACAGAGTTGTCATAGGTAAGTAGTTCTGTGCTGTGCAGGTCTTGTGCATCATTGTATCCTTGCTTGGAGTTTGTGGGTACTATTCAGGAATCTCTTTTTTAAGTAGGCAGTAATCCCTCATCCTTCTTGCAGCATATTTTTGTTCTTTTATGCTTAACTCAGTGCTGTAACTTTTATGCTTAACTCATGCTTTGTCCTGCCTTTAAGAGAGGCAATAATGCAGGTCAGAGAGTTCATAGTATCCAAAAAGTGTTGTGCCAAAACACTCCAGGGCTCCCTTTTGCTTTTGCTGCCGGTTTGCTGTCGAGGCAGTGAGTTTGCAGTGATTCCAGTCCTGCTCCTGAGTTCTTTTTCAAGTAAACTGACAGTTACTTCTCAGTGATGTGCTGCAACATTCTGCCATCATCTTACTCTGAGGCTATATAATTATTAAATGTGTTTCAAAAATCTGATTCTTAACATCTTGTTCAGTTGTGTTGTAGTAGTTCTAATGAGAAGATTTGAAAATATAGATACTAAAAATGAAGTATTGAAAGATTGGGGGGAGAAAAAAACCCTTAGAGCTGCAGAGAATGTTAGGTGTGAGTAGCTACTGATTGAGCTGCTAAAACCTTTTGGATTAAATGTCAGTCACTGGAAGCAGTGGCAGCCATTCCCTGGTGTCTGAAGTGTTGGTCCCTTGGAGCAGTAAATATTGCACTGTTAGAATTGGAAATTGCTCATCAGTTTTTTCTTTGTGTTATCAGCACAGGAAGTAAAAGCCTAAACTGTGCTTGGGATAGAGGTGCCAGGAATGCCTCCTTTTGCTGCAGCAGGGACACCTTGCTGTGAGGAGGGGAGAAGAAGCCTCCTGTTCTGTTCCCATCCCTAGCAGAGGAGTCTTCTGACTCATGTGGAAAAACACTCATGGAGAAGACATTAGGCTGGAAGGAATACAGTTTAAATCTGTACTGGGATGATTTCATGCAAAATATTTCATTTTGTGCATCTGCTAGTCAGGTATCTAGAATTTCAAGAGTGGGTTCAGTAACACTGGAAATGAGAATTATTTTGGCCTTGCTCAGCTAGGGGTTATAGTTTAGAAAACTACTTGTGAAAACAAGGCAGAAGCTATCTGCAGTGTGTTTGTGAATTTGACAGAATTTGTTCTTTATTTGCCATGTTTACATTCCTCATACTGGATTGTTATATTCACAAAAGTGAAAATACAGATATGCAGGCCTGGTTAATACTGAAACTGAGTATTGTTAGAGCATGGTGCTGGGGAGGGGATGTGCCAAGGGTCTTTCAAAAGACTAAAACTTTAAAATAACCTTGGTGTTTTCTTCTTATCATAGAAAATATCTGAAGGTAAGAGCAGAGAAGTAGAGTTTTTGATGGCTAACTGGCTTTGCTAGTAATTTCACCAGTTTGGAGCATCCATGGTCCTCTATTTTCCAAGTGGTGCTGAACTTCCCAGCAATCTCTTCTTGCTCACTGGTATTTAAAAAGCTACTCAGCATTTCATCATGTCCCTTGTGGTTGAACCTGCTCTCCCCTCTGGGGCTGGGTGTCCCAGTCAGTTGTGAAACCTGGAATGGGGATGGAAGTGTGTATTTAGCAGGAGAGCTGCTTCCTCTGGTGAGCTAATGGCACTTCTGCTGGCAGATTGCTGCCCAGGCAGGGAGTTCAGTGATTGCAGCCCGGGGCTGTGCAGTGATCAGGGGCTCCATCTGCCTCTGGGGGGATCCTGCAGACCAGGATACTCAGTGATCCTGTCCTGCTGCACCTCTGCACCACAGCTGGGCTTCTGTCCTCAGCACTTGCGCTCACTGGGGCTTCAGCACGTTTTCTCTCACCAGCAGAAGGAAACACTCTCTACAATGTTGATCATCACTTTTTGTCTAACCCTGTAAAGCTTGTGTTGTTCCAAACTATTACATATAAGTGTTCTTATACATATAAAAAAAGTCTGAGCAATTTTTCACATTCTTTAGACACAAATAAAAACATTTCTTCCTCACTTATATATTGCATCAAGTAACCCTGGTACCATTTCTTTCCATCAGTAAAAGAGTTAAAACTTTATCTTCAACTTCATTTTTCCTCTAAATAGGATTTTTTCCATACCCTGTTGTTAAATCTGAACACTTTCAGTTTTCTGTTTGCTTTGTTATTTGATTTTTATGTGATGAACAATAACATGCCATATGAGCTCTTTGGTACTATTTAATTAGTCTTCAGTATAATAAAGCATATTGGTTTGAAAAAAAATTCTATTAACTTTTGAAGCTTTGAAAATATTATCAGAGTAGTTGTAAATTTTACTTAACCTATAATTTTAGGTCATTTAAATAATTAAAATTATAATATTATTTTGGCTGTTCAGAAGTCAATGCAGTGGTGCAGGCAGCTGTACAGGGAGACCCTTTCTGTGAGCAGAAATAGGATGTTTGTTTTACTCTGGCTCACTTCTCTGTTTTGGCCTGGATGTTAAACATCCAGGGTTCTGGAACCAGTGAGGTGGGACAGAGGAGGTGATGGCAAATCCCTGTGTCTGCCATGGCTCTGGCCTGGGCTGCTCGGCGTGGTGGTGAGGCTGATGAGAGGCAGCGTGCTCTGGCCTGATCTGACAGATCAGCTCTTCTGAAATCACATCCCTGAAATTATGGTCATGTCTGCAGTACCAAGGTTTGATCCAAAGCATCTGGTCACAAAGCCTGGAATGTAGGTGGCTCTTAGTCACTCACCTGTGACTTACCCAAAAGTGAGTGCCATGAAGTTCAGCAGGATAGTCTGACAGAGCCAAAAGCAGTTTTGTCACTAGGACTATGGATTTGTTGGCACAGATCAGTTCTTTATAATAATGTTTTATATAATTTAATATGAGCACAGGGATGCATGAATTAATCCATGTTTCTGCAGTTCAAGCATTTGAAGATTCCTTTGAATCAGTATCCCAAATCCAAAAGAAACGTTATATAAAAGAATATATTAATGTGTCTTTTTTTTGAAAGAGGCCAGAGGCTGGATAACAAGAAGTCTCTAGCAGTGTGTTTGGTATGGTTTTGTGTTCATGGTGCACTTTTGGCAGCACAGTGACTCATATTTTATTTACTGTGGGTAGAGGAGCATTCAGCTGCAGTTTGGGGTTTGACAGGAGCTGCACTTGGAGCTGGTGAAGCAGCAGCACAGCTCCAGCTGATGGAAGGGCTGGAGTTACAGCCTGAAGGCTGTGGGCTGTGCAGTAATCTGGCATGGCATTGCCCAGCTTCTGATCCTTTGGTTTTCCTGCTGCTCAGTGGAGTCATTCCCTGGAATTCTCAGTAGTCAGCTGCCTGCCAGGCTGCTCTGGGCTTTGGCTAAAATGGTCTCATAACAGTGAGCAGTGTTTTAGGTGCATGGCCAGCGTGGTCTCAGATGTTTGTGTTGGCTTGAAGGAGAGGTCATGGGAGGGAGCACACGCTTGGGCTCAAGCCAGGGCTGCTTTGGGTTTGGTCTCAGCAGTTTTAGTTGGGATTTGGGTCAGCTCAGCAATTCAGTGCTGAAGTTCCCTCAGTAGCTATGGCTGCACTTAGGCTGTGTGGTCACAAGAAGCAGCAACCACTCTGCCCTTGTCTTCCTTGCCCCATCCCAGCAAAAATTACCACTTCCCTTTGAAAATTTCTTCCTTTGGGCCAGGTTTGTAAGCAAACCATTGCACCTCTTTGCAGAGACTGGTGAAATGTTATGGTTGTACCACGAGAAGAGTTGGGGATTGTGCAGAATTGCAGGGAGGAGGAGTGCATTGCAGGAGACTGAATGAGTGTGTGTGTTCTGCAATGTTTGCACTGTTTCTCAATTACAGAGTTTGGAGCTAAAGTCATACTAGAATCAGTCATCAAACCGTATTTTAAAATCTTTTTCTATGCATGGATGCAAATATTTTGGTCTCCTTAGCAAATCTAAACTTAATAAATGAAGTAGCTATTTCTTGTAGTATCC